AAAACGCAGAATGCTAATTCGCCTCGGAGGACGCGGCCACTCGTCGGTTGGTTTCGCTTGCGGAACGGCTGGAAAAACGCAGAATCATGTGCTCTGATTCCTGTGGACCTAAAAACGTGTGGTCCGTGTGCTCGGACGATGCAAGGCACGCACACGCAGGGATCGAAGCACGGTACTTTGGCGATACAACTTCCATCTGTGCTATCGCTCTCGTCAGCACTTTGACGCCAGCCAGCCTAGCAGCTTCGCTACGTCCGAGCTCGGTGGCCCCTTCTTGGCCACATACACCTAACCTTCCAAGACTAGACGCTCAAACATCATGTGCGCACTTCCGCACGACGCTGTTCAAGCGTCATGGGCCCAAGGTCGGCATCAAGGGGTCCTTGTCGTCCTCTACTTATGCACATATGCACACGTCATTATTCTGCATCCGGCCAAGAACCATTGAAATGATGAGAAGGAGCAAAAATCCTCCGCATGGGTATCCGGTCATCCGGATGTTTGCACGACTTGCCCCACAGCTTTGCCGCACATCGTGGCGCCAAATCGAGGTCGCGCGTCGTCCCAGTGCTTTCCTATCAGCACTTGTGACGCACTAGAAACACTTAATCGAAGCGAGCGTTGGTCCTCGCCTGTAGCTAAAAGGTCCGCGTCGAAGCGTCCACGCAAATACACTTGCATGGTTTGGGAGGCTACCACCACGAACGGGCGACGCCACGACGTGACCCTCGTCTGCTTGGTTGTTGACCACGGACAACCACGCATCGCGTTCTTCTCAAGTCGCTTGACCATTATCGGTGTCTTGCGATGTGGCACGAAGCGTACCACCGAGCCGTTCCCAAGAAGAGGTTTCCGAGCAAGGCCGAGCGATCTCGGAGTCCAGGATCTGGAAGCACACACGTTACAAGGGCTTGATGCATTTCGTATGGGCGACTGAGCTCATAAGCCGCGATTGATCGATTTTTAGAGGCCCCAGGAGACCACCCCTAATAATCAATATGAGGCCAGGATGCACTTTTGAAGGACGCTAAGGCACATAGAAATGCGCCGTCGAGGCCCGGAGCGCGAGAGCATCAGGGCTGGTGTGGTGCCACGTCACGAAGGCGGCCCGCGGCACCATGACAGCACGTAGGGCATTTCTAACGAAAGTGAGCGATAGCACACTACATAATTCATGGGGTATAGCTAATAGACGACTGTATTCGAGGATCGCTTTCTCAAGTGCCCTTCTATTGTGCCCGTTCTTGAAATGGTTGGCCTTGTAGAACTTGTGCATTCCTTGGCGTCGTTTGTGCGGTCAGCACGATTTGGATGCTTGCAGATAGGGCACGGTAGCATAAGCTTCACGTGGCTCGCCTTGCGCTCGATGAAGCTTGTGAGGCTGGTGGTCGCATAGACACCCACCCACGCGCTCTGCATGGGCGCCACTTCAACGACCACTTGGTCGTAGTCGGTGCCCAAGGCTGCTTCATACTCGCTGCGGGGCGCATTTGTGTTGCTGCTCGTGGCACTCTTCGGCTTGACTTCGAGACGGGGCGCGGGCGCTTGCTTCGGCGAGAGCGGCCAAACACCTGAGGAGCGGCAAGAACGAGTTCAGCGACGGCAGCGGCGCCGATGGCGGGAGGTGCGACGCCTCATGCCACGCCGACGGCGGCAAGTACGGG